TGAAGTGAAAAATCATCGTAACAAGAAAATAAAGTTTCTACGATCTGATCATAGAGAAGAGTATTTGAGTTATGAGTTTGGCCTTCAGTTAAAAACAATGTGAAATAGTTTCACTACTCACGCCACCTGGAACACCACAATGTAATGGTGTGTCCGAACGTCATAACCGTACTTTATTAGATATGGTGCGATCTATGATGTCTCTTACCGATCTACCACTATCATTTTGGGGTTTTGCATTAGAGACAGCTGCATTCACGTTAAAAGGGCACCATCTAAATCTGTTGAGACAACACCGTATGAACTATGGTTTGACAAGAAACCAAAGTTGTCGTTTCTTAAAGTTTGGGGTTGCGATGCTTATATGAAAAAGTTTCATCCTGATAAGCTCAAACTCAAATCGGAGAAGTGCGTCTTCATAGGATACCCAAAAGAAAATGTTGGGTACACCTTCTATCATAGATCCGAAGGCAAGATATTCGTTGCTTAGAATGGATCCTTTCCAGAGAAGGAGTTTCTCTCGAAAGAAGTGAGTGGGAGGAAAGTAGAACTTGACGAGGTAACTGTACCTGCTCCCTTATTGGAAAGTAGTGCATCATAGAAAACTATTTCAGTGACACCTACACCAGTTAGTGAGGAAGCTAATGATGATGATCATGAAACTTCAGAACAAGATACTACTAAACCTCGTAGATCAACCAGAGTGAGATCCGCGCCAGAATGGTACGGTAATCCTGTTCTGGAAGTCATGCTACTAGATCATGATGAACCTACGAACTATGAAGAAGCGATGGTGAGCCTAGATTCCGCAAAATGGCTTGAAGCCATGAAATCTGAGATGGGATCCATGTATGAGAACAAAGTATGGACTTTGGTTGACTTGCCCGATGATCGGCAAGCAATTGAGAATAAATGGATCTTCAAGAAGAAGACTGACGCTGACGGTAATATTACTGTCTACAAAGCTCGACTTGTCGCAAAAGGTTTTCGGCAAGTTCAAGGGATTGACTACGATGAGACCTTCTCACCCGTAGCGATGCTTAAGTCTGTCTGAATCATGTTAGCAATTGCCGCATTTTATGATTATGAAATTTGGCAGATGGATGTCAAAACTGCATTCCTGAATGGATTTCTGGAAGAAGAGTTGTATATGATGCAACCAGAAGGTTTTGTCAATCCTAAAGGTGCTAACAAAATATGCAAGCTCCAGCGATCCATCTATGGACTGGTGCAAGCATCTCGGAGTTGGAATATACGCTTTGATAAGTTGATCAAAGCATATAGTTTTATATAGACTTGCGATGAAGCCTGTATTTACAAGAAAGTGAGTAGGAGCACTACAATATTTCTGATAAGTATATGTGAATGACATATTTTTGATCGGAAATAATGTAGAATTATTCTGCAAAGCATAAAGGAGTGTTTGAAAGGAATTTTTCAAAGAAAGACCTCGGTAAAGCTGCTTACATATTGAGCATCAAGATCTATAGAGATAGATCAAGACGCTTGATAAGTTTTTTCAATGAGTACATACCTTGACAAGATTTTAAAGTAGTTCAAAATGGAACAGTCAAAGAAAGAGTTCTTGCCTGTGTTGCAAGGTGTGAAATTGAGTAAGACTCAAAGCCCGACCACGGCAGAAGATAGAAATAGAATGAAAGTCATTCCCTATGCCTCAGCCATAGGATCTATAAAGTATGCCATGCTGTGTACCAGATCTATTGTATACCTACACTGTGTTAAGCAAGGGAGTACAATAGTGATCTAAGAGTAGATCACTGGACAGCGGTCAAAATTATCCTTAGTGGAATAAGGAAATATTTCTCAATTATGGAGGTGACAAAAAGGTTAGTCGTAAAAGGTTACATCGATGCAAGTTTTGACACAGATCTGGATGATTCTAAGTCTCGATCTAGATACATATTGAAAGTGGGAGCAATAAGCTAGAGTAACTCCGTGCAGAGCATTGTTGACATAAAAATTCGCAAAATACTTATGGATCTGAATGTGACAGACCCGTTGACTAAAATTATCTCACAAGCAAAACATGATCACACCTTAGTACTCTTTGGGTGTTAATCACATAGCGATGTGAACTAGATTACTGACTCTAGTAAACCCTTTGGGTGTTGATCACATATCGATGTGAACTATGGGTGTTAATCACATGGTGATGTGAACTATTGCTGTTAAATCACATGGCGATGTGAACTAGATTATTGACTCTAGTACAAGTGGGAGACTGAAGGAAATATGCCCTAGAGGCAATAATAAAGTTATTATTTATTTCCTTATATCATGATAAAAGTTTATTATTCATGCTAGAATTGTATTAACCGGAAACATAATACATGTGTGAATACATAGACGAACAGAGTGTCACTAGTATGCCTCTATTTGACTAGCTCATTAATCAAAGATGGTTATGTTTCCTAACCATGGACAAAGAGTTGTTATTTGATTAACGGGATCACATCATTAGTTGAATGATCTGATTGACATGACCCATTCTATTAGCTTCGCACCCGATCGTTTAGTATGTTGCTATTGCTTTCTTCATGACTTATACATGTTCCTATGACTATGAGATTATGCAACTCCCGTTTGCCAGAGGAACACTTTGTGTGCTACCAAACGTCACAACGTAACTGGGTGATTATAAAGGAGCTCTACAGGTGTCTCCAAAGGTACATGTTGAGTTGGCGTATTTCGAGATTAGGATTTGTCACTCCGATTGTCGGAGAGGTATCTCTGGGCCCTCTCGGTAATGCACATCACTTAAGCCTTGCAAGCATTGCGACTAATGAGTTAGTTGCGGGATGATGTATTACACAACGAGTAAAGAGACTTGCCAGTAACGAGATTGAACTAGGTATAGGATACCGACGATCGAATCTCGGGCAAGTAATATACCGATGACAAAGGGAACAACGTATGTTGTTATGCGGTCTGACCGATAAAGATCTTCGTAGAATATGTAGGAGCCAATATGGGCATCCAGGCCCCGCTATTGGTTATTGACCGGAGACGTGTCTCGGTCATGTCTACATTGTTCTCGAACCCGTAGGGTCCGCACGCTTAAGGTTACGATGACAGTTATATTATGAGTTTATGCATTTTGATGTACCGAAGTTTGTTCGGAGTCCCGGATGTGATCACGGACATGACGAGGAGTCTCGAAATGGTCGAGACATAAAGATTGATATATTGTAAGCCTATGTTTGGATATCGGAAGTGTTCCGGGTGAAAACGGGATTTTACCGGAGTACCGGGAGGTTACCGGAACCCCCCCAGGGAGCTATATGGGCCTTAATGGGCCATAGTGGAAGAAGAGGAGAGGCAGCCAGGGCTGGGCCGCGCGCCCCTCCCCCTAGTCCGAATAGGACAAGGAGAGAGGGGGCCGGCGCCCTCCTCCTTCTCTCTCTCTCTCTCTTCCCACCTCGCGAGTCCTATTCCAACTAGGATTGGGGGAGAAGTCCTACTCCCGGAGGGAGTAGGACTCCTCCTGGCGCACCATATGTGGCCGGCCGGCCTCCACCTCTTGGTCCTTTATATACGGAGGCAGGGGCACCCCAGAGAGACACAAGTTGATCCACGTGATCTTACTCTTAGCCGTGTGCGGCGCCCCCAGCCACCATAGTCCTCGATAATATTGTAGCGGTGCTTAGGCGAAGCCCTGCGGCAGTAGTACATCAAGATCGTCACCACGCCGTGGTGCTGACGGAACTCTTCCCCGACACTTTGCTGGATCGGAGTCCGGGGATCGTCATCGAGCTGAATGTGTGCTAGAACTCGGAGGTGCCGTAGTTTCGGTGCTTGATCGGTCGGGCCGTGGAGACGTACGACTACATCAACCAAACGCTTCCGTTGTCGATCTACCAGGTACGTAGATCATATTCCCCCCTCGTTGCTATGCATCATCATGATCTTGCGTGAGCGTAGGAAATTTTTTGAAATTACTACGTTCCCCAACACAGTGTGCAGTGGAAGCTGGAGTATGGAGAGGATGAGATCGTTGCCACCCCTCACCATGTGTAGCCTCCCCTTCACCCAACCCCGTCCCAGTCCACGCCTCCTCCCTTCGCCGCCACCACCAATCCATGCTGGAAGCCTAGGGTTTGCACGAGGAAGGTCAGGGGTGCTAAGATCAGCACACCGACACCGACCCTGAGCCCCAAGCAACAACAACAGCTGGAGCAACCACCCCATGTCGTCGTCGATCCTCTCTACAGGGTGATGTTCATGATCCCCACATCCACCGCCACCGCCACCGGCCATGTTACCTGGGCCAAGAGGAGGGAGCCGAAGAAGCCGTCGATGAGAAGAGGGAGCACGAGAGGAGCACTAGGGGAGCCGCAGCCGCATCCGCATCAACCCGCCGCTGCTGCTCCTGGCTCCGCCGCCCTTCATCACCGAGAGCGGCTAGCACAAGGGAGGGCCGCCTGCGATTCCGTGAGGAGGAGGAGGAAGGCGTGACGGGCATGAGAAGCGGGAGGAGGAGGAAGACGAGCGGCGAGAGGGGAGGAGCCAGAGGTGGCGGTCGGAGGGGGGAGGAGGCTGAGATGGCGGCGCGGGGGCGAGAGGAAGAGGGTGGGAGCCGCGGCTGGGAAGAGGGGAGGGGGCGCGAGTGCGGGAGGAGGCGGCGGCTAGGTCATCTCCAGAGGAGCCAATGTGATTTATACCCCTGCGAGTGAAATAACGAAAATGCCCTCGGCGGCCACCCAATTTTACAGGCGGTGGCACGAAACGGGGTAACTATTCATTTCAGCAGTAACTTTTCTTTGATCCGACGGACGAGGTCATCCAGCGGCTCGATCCGACGGCCTGAATTCCATCAAGCGAACTGATCCAACAGCCGAGAGTGCCTGAGCTCTGAGAGAGCTCGGTGGAACATCCTTCTCTTATCTCTTGATAGGTAGCTTGTGGGCTTTGTCAATCAGGAAGTTAGTACCACCACATCTCTCATCATGTCGAAGATGCTCGGGAAGGTTTTAGTGGCCATGGTTTTGGTTCTCATGGCCATGTCGAGCTCATGGACCCGGGCGGCAGCGAGGCCATTGTTATACGCCGAGGAACCCTCCCCTGGCTATTCCGTCCGCATTTTGCTGCCTTCACGGCCGTCGCAATGGCGAGGGCGTGTGCTTCTGTCGCTCGAGGAGAAGAAGACGGGGCCAGGCAAATCGTGTGGACCCAGAAGCACCAATAACCCTAACAATCATTGCCCATAGAGATGAAAACACACCTGAGTTGCAGCAAATTCTCGTGGCTCCTATGGAGCCAAACCAAAAATTATATTTGACTCGTAATGATATATAGTAACATTGTAACATAAAGGAGCGATCGTTAGGGTTTAGAAGTCTCCGTTTGTTGATTTCTTATACATCATGCATTTTCCCTTTAATTTTAGAAGTTAAGGATATGTAAAAATAGTCATGTTCCCCACTTTCTTAGATTAAACTAAGTACTTGTTGGCAATAATCAAACAGATAGATGTATGTTGATCGATTGTTCAAATGTAGCCAAATAAAAATGTTATTTATTCTCTGGTTTGACAAGTTCTGCACAGCTTGACAACAAAAAAGAGAGTAACTTATACTCTCTGTCTTCAGGTTTTTTTTTAGAAAAGGAGGATGACCCCCGGCCTCTGCATCTGGACGATGCATACGGTCATTTTATTAATTATTGACACAAGAGTTAGAAAGTCATACAACAATAAGACTAAAGCCACCGACTAAGCAACATATGTCGCTATTCCTATCAAGTTGATGAAGGGGCGCTGAAAGTCTGGGCCTAATACCAAACAGACTTCGTAGCCAAACCTAACATCTAAGACTTGAGGTACCAATCAGGACGCCTGTCGGGTATGGGCACCCACCAGTCGGCGTGCTCCTCAACCAGGACGCCTGCCAGGTATGAGGCCGCCACAGCCACCTGCCACTAATCCATCTTCAGCTGTACTGCTGCATCAACCTTGCCCGGTCTAGCTGCCGCCAACGCCACCACGACGCCATGCAGCGTCACCCTCCTGCGTGAGTCCATCTCCGCTCATCAGACGCCGAGTCTCCACTGCGCCACGCTGCCGAGATCCGCCGCCATCAATGGACAAGATGAAACACCGCTCCTCCCATTGTCCCCTCTAGCCAGCACTTGGTCCAAAACGACGCCGCCAGGAGGGAGAACGACATCAAAACGTCATCATCGTCCAATCCGGTAGACCCAGATCTAAGGTTTCCCCCGGAACCTCCTGATCAAGTTGACGTGACCGGAAGCCGTGTCGTCCTGATCTCATGGCTGGCTAGAACCGCGCGAAGTCTCGCCATGAAGACGTATGCCGCTACTGGTACTCCGGTAGAGATCCTCCATACCCTCACCGGTCCCTCCACGCCCCGCCGGCCGGCCAAGACCACGCCGCGGTCGATCTGGACGGGACGCCAGATCCGCGGCCACCGCGACCCATCTTCGGGCAGAGCCATCCACCGGTTCATCCATGAAGTGCTGCCACCATCCATGCACGAAGGGAAGCCCATCGCCGTCCTGGACCACTGCCCGCCGCCGCACAGGCTAGGGGCGCCGCCCTGCCTGCTGCCCACGGGCGCACCACAAGAGACGCCCGTGCCGCCTCAAGGGGATCCTGCTGCAGATCCGCCCGCCCTAGCGCCTTGGCATCGGGCCCGCTGCCACTGCGGACCTCGCCGGCGGCAGGAGGATGGCCGAGGGAGGCTGGCGGCGCTGGATTTTTTGGCCCCCTGGCGTCGCCCAGGGAGGCGACGCGAGGGGGTACGAGGGGGAGGGGTACCACGGAAATTGTGTCTAAGTTTCACTAGTGGTTTGACCAATAAGATATATGGTAGATGTCATAAAAATATACCACTGGAAACTTCTTTCGAAGACGAATTCGTTGGTATACTGTAATTTTATCGAAGGTTGTGTAAGTTGTGATGAAGTCAGGCTCTAACGCGTCGCATTGAGCGATGGAGCCCAAGACCTCTTCGGGCACTACCATTTTTTTTCCTGTCTTTTTTCTGGTTGAAACCACATACTTTTTTTAAGTTGCTCACGGCATGGGTCCTGGTATGATCATATGCAATGGGTAATATGACAACAAAAAGGAGTTATACATGGTTTCTCTATTAGTGCTATGTCTAGCAATAAATACTGCATGGCTATATTATTTTCTATGGTGATTAAAATTGGAGTATAAAACATATTACTAATATACTACATTTTGAAGATAAATTCTTCTCTTATGTGCCCATAGATCATCTCTTTTCTGTAATATGTTTTATATGGATACATGACTGCTAGTACACCACAACCGACAACCATCTTCAAATGCTAGTACTGCCGAGACACTTGTTATAAGAATAGAAGAACAACCTCCATCGTCACAAGAACTGGGAAAGCACCACTGCCGTCAAGGCTTTTTGAACCGAAGATAAGCCATCGCAAATGGCAAGGCATATTGTTGTGGCATGTCGGTCGAGGATTGTTCATGTGCCTTCATGTCTCTAGATTCGGCGCTCCCTGTCGACAACGGTGAGGGGAACCGCCATATTTTCCCCTCACAGGCCACATACCATGCTCCAAAACCGCCATCTTGACCCACACGCCTATGCTGCCCCGGGTGGCAGCCGTCGGCCATCCGCTGAGCAAAATCTCCCTGCTCCTCTACGAAGTAGAAAATGCGTCATAGTGACGAAGCCATGGCAAGAGAACAAAAACCTCAAATGGAGTCATTGTCGCCACCTTACCGAGACCATCCATGGACCCAAACATCTTTGCGCACACACAAAGCCACCGTGGAAGGAGGCGCCAGTGTGGGAATGGAGTTGGGGAAGATTTATTTATCGGGGTGCTGCACCCACCACCCCAACAACGCAAATCAGCATACTACTCGTACTCATATATACATGTCAGGAAGATCTAGGGTGACGTCCCTCACGTCGCCGGAGCAGCAGACAGAGGGGAAAGGGACCCATGGCCTCATCGGTGGTCAAACTGGAGCAAATCATCGCCTACTTCGTGGAGAGGAGAGAAGGAACGAAGTGGTCGCAAAAAGGATCATCTCTTCACTTCAAGGATACACCCTTTTTCTTTTCATTCTTTTAGTTATAACTTAGCAAAATTCGATGTGGCACGGGCAAAATGATGTTTTCTTTCCTGCAGCATAAGTACCACGTGTCCTTTCAAGATTTTCTTTACCCCCTCCCTTTTCCTATGTAAATATGAGACTAAGAGCATCTCAAATTTCTCAAAACAGGCTCTCGCCCCGTTTTATAGATAAAGCATCAAACCAAAGTGCATGACCGAACGAGCATTTCCAATAGCTCTCATAACCGTAAAAAACTACTCCCTCCGTCTCATAATATAAGAACGTTTTTGACACTACACTAGTGCCAAAAATGTTCTTATATTATGGGAGAGAGGGAGTACCGTCTAAAGGGAATTGACCCAAACTTAGCCCCACCCCCTCCCATCGGCTCTCGTAAACCCATTTATTTATGGGATCCATATATTTCCCTAAACGGACATTCAGCTAGTATTGATAGAATCATCATTCTCCGCTGGCATTTTTATCCCGGTGCTTCTGTGTTCGCTTGAAACAACGCGTTCCGGACACTTTCAGTTGGTCATACGGCGGTACGTGTTGCGACCTCCCCGCCGTGACTAGTTGGGTTCGCATAGGCACCATGTTCACGGCAGAGACGAAGCGACCGAACGAAAGCTACGTAGTAGTACACAAGAAGAGTCGCCGCTGTAGTCTCCCTTTACTACGTACTACTCCGTAGCAGTTAGCTGAACTAAATAGCAGTTCATGAAGTTGGCGGTACTACGTATCAGAAGACGCGTAGATGCACTCCAAGTTTGAACCATCGCACACTGTCAAATTAACCGACTGGTCACACACGTAAAAGCCATGGAAAGTTCCATGCGTACTCTGCCAAGCATATGAGCATGGAGTAGCTTATATATAGCCGAACAAATCAAGACTACAGCTCGCATACACAGCACTCAAAAGCCTAACTAGTTTGACAGATCGATCTATATAGCTCCCAATTACGACAAGCAACGCTGCGGCCTTTATAAGTTCGGACACGTCCACGATGACGCCGAAGCTTGCAGTGGCCATGCTCTTGGTCCTCGTGGCTACGTCCGGCCCATGGATCCGGGCCTCTGCGAGGCCGCTGCAAGGTGATCAGGTGCACGCCGGGGAACCCTCCTCCGGCGGTTCAGTCGACGCCATGCCGCCGTTGCCGACGCATTGGCGTGGACACGTGCTGTCTCAGTTGGAGGAGAACGGCCCAGCCGGGTGTCCGAAAACTCACGATCCAAACAAACCTTGTTCCTCCCCATAGAAATGCGCAGAGCCAAGGAGGCACGACCGAAAGTAAACTGTCGTACTTTGCGCGTGGGAGCCAAACCGGAAATATTATGTTTGTTTTGCAATAATGTGATGTAAAGATTGTTACGGTTTAGATGTCTCCGTTTGTTAATCTCTTATACAGCCTGCATTCATCGTTCCGTTAGTCAGAGTTTTGAGCTTCAGGCAATGTTAAAACAATTATGTACCTTCTTTTTTTGGCATTCAAGTATGGACAACTAAAAGAATGTGCTTTATTCTCAGATATTTGAACATCCTTGTTACTAGAAAGCACTAAATGGGGCAAAACTCCGAGTTCTCAAAAATAAGCCTTTCATGTCGCATGTGACTGTCTCCGTCATCAAGGATCATGTTGCAGGTTAGAATTTCGCCCTTGCTACCCTAAATGTAAGAAACATGTATTATGTCGGCTCGTGCCATGTAACCTCTGATGTAAATATTTGCGACCTACTTTCTCAAAAAAAAAAATTGCAAAACCTCTCTCTAAGAAAAAAAATGAACCGCCTCTCTGAAAAATAACAAAAAATGCTTCGCTTCTTTTTTTTGCGGGGAAAAAAGGAATTCATTAATTAAGTGGCAGCCATGTCTGCATTACATAGGTCCGGAACCTCGTCCGGCCCAGAATGAAGCCACACCGCAGTGCGCTTCTTTATTCGACCAAAGTTCGCTAAAAAATGACTAACAGTATTTTGTTCACGCCTCACAAGTTTAACTAAGAATTCACCATGTTCCCGAAGACGCGAAGTAATCTCGCGGATCAACATCATATGCCCCGGTCGGTCGCCAATACCTCCTTCAATTAGTTTTACCACTTCTGCGCAGTCCGTTTGAATCACAAAAGGCAGC